TGACGCCAGTCCAAGGAGTCGTTCCCCGTTGTTGTTCATAATGTCGCGTCCGTACGCGCCCATAATCTTGGCATCGCAGCACCCGTCTCGCCTCCTACCAGTACGTGCGTTGGCGTCCATTAGCACCACGAGATGGTCACGGCTGTGAACCTCCCGGATCGCTGCGTCGAGAGCAGTCCAGAAGGAGTCCTTGGCGTTAACATCACCGCCCGCGGTGGTGCGGACAGTTTCCGTGGGGGCGTACCCCACCACGAAAGTTACTCCGCAGGTGCGGCCAATTTGTAGACGCACCTTCATCAGCCTCGGGCTAATGCACTCCACCGTCCTACCTTCCTCGCCCACACTCTCCCACATGGCCTCCTTGATCGCTATGCCCACACCGTGTACGCCCCTCTTGTCCTTGGTGCCAGCACGGGCGCCACTCCAGATGATCACGTACCCATCGTGTGCAATTGAACCTCACCCCTCTCGTCGGGTCTCCTGAAGTCCTTTCACATCACAGGCGGTCGCGGAACAAATCTGCATGACCGTCATCACGTTGTGACCGATGGGGTTCCTACCGCTGTAGGCGAGCGTGCGTACGTTGAACGTGCCGAACGATAGGTCGCCCTCTCGTGCCTTCTTCTTCGCAGCCGCCTTGACGGCCGCTGCGGTCTCGTGTCTCTCTCGGTCCACCTCGCGTTGCGGGTGTGCTTTCTTCCGTATTTTCCGAGCGGCGAATTTCCTCGCATCAATCCATCTCTGCAGAGCTCGGTTCTTGCCTGTGGTGTTTTGACGAGGAGGGTGCAGCACTCCCTCCCCGCGGTGCCCGCGGTCGTCTCCCTTCTCCCGCGAGCGGTGCTTACTGACGTGGTGTTTACGAATCTCTCTACTCCTCCAGCTTCGTGGGCCACGCTTTCCGCGACGGTGGTTGCCAGGTGCAGTTTGCCGCTTTGCATTACTGCCGCGGGAACAGTGTCCATACACACATCTCGCCACTACCACCGTCTGTGCATCCTCACCGCCACGCTGAGCCAGCGCGGCGGTGAGTTGCACCTTGGGACACCACCCGCCTACTATCTGTTGTGGCCTGGTTCGCCCGCGAGGGACTCACTAGGTCGATTTCGGCCCCGGCCGGGGAGCAGGCCGAGGGACTCTGTACACAGCTGAATGTTTTTTCTTTTTCGGTTCCTTGGGGCTCACTGAGCCCTTCGAGTTATAATGAACACGTCAGCTATGTGAGCTGTTGAACTTGCGAAACGTCACAACAACGGGCACCTGGCAGCCAGCTGCGGGCTTACCCTTCGTTTCTACTTTGTCGTGTCATCGTGCGTCACCCCTTGGTGGCGCTTGCTCTCATGAGCCCTCTCCATACGGGACCACTTGTATGAATTTGTTGTGATAGATCAGTGCAGTCTTTCTTCAATGTTTTTCAATTTTTCTGATGACGCTGTTTTCCTGTTTCGTGATCATGTCGCCGTTGCCCCAGGTGCGGTTGGCCCGGCTGCAGCAAAAAGCTTCCCTCCTGGCGCCTGGCCGCGCCGCTAGTATTCGACCTGCCCGAGGGAGAGCAGCTAGGGAGGTTTTGCGAGCGAGCGTGCATGGCGGTGAGAGAAAGTGTAGGCGGGCCGGTGCACCGAACGATGGAGGACGGAATAAGGACTGAGTATCCCGGTCGTCTTTGGGAGTCTATACAGTCTACACAATATTTTCTTCCAAGCAGCACAGCAGTGTTCCTGTGAAGAGGTTGAAACGACGATTCCCGTGCGATACGAAATATCCATGACACTCCGTGTTGGAATACTCAATGTCAGTCAACAGTATTTGTACTGACTGCTGTAACCAACAGTACCTAGGTAGTCAATGTGGGAGTGTTTGCCGGAATATTCTTCGGTATGTTTTTTTATTCAGTGACCGGATCATTGCATACACCAGGTACGGGTTATGCATTGCACCATTGGAGTATGGTACGTGAGACCATATAGTCCTAAAGGATGTACTTGTCATGTTGCTGCAGGTCGGATTAACCCTCTGTTACCGTGGTTATTTCGCTGTTCATGTATCATCCTCTGTAGTCCAATGGTTAGGATATATCGCTTTCACCGATGAGACCCGGGTTCAATTCCCGGCAGGGGAGTCCTTTTTTTCGAACGGTCGCCCCGGTGGTCTAGTTGGCATCCTCGAGCCTTTTTTGAGGTCAGGTCAGTTGTTCGAATCCCGGCGTTAGCGAGCTTTCCTTGCAAAGGGAGTTCCTCGCTTCCGCTCCTGGCCTAGTGGATAGCGCTAGTTAGTATGTAGTTCGTGTGTACACAGAGGGAAGAGAGTGGTGAAGTCTTCTCGCATTAAAAATTGAAGGCAAAGTACCACAGGAGGGCGTACTCTTATGTTTTGCATGTCTTAGCGGTTAGGCCATTGACCACGCGTCCTCGAGAGGACGGAGCATTGTTCCCACAGGACCGATCACCGATGGCCAATCGTTCCTTTCNGGGGGGGGGGGGGGAGAGAAAGGCTCTTCTGTGTGACCACGGGTTGGAGTAAACGGCACTGGTGCTGTGAGCTCTGATTTGAAGTATAAAGACAAAAATATTTTAAAAAATAGCCCGTTTGTGCTTTATTTCGGGGATGAGGATGGATGGCTCGCCCCGTGGTTCTCGCCTCTGCTGTCTCACTCCCTTCTCTGTCCTTACATTTGGGCCAACTAACCGCCAATTCCAACCATGTACCTTCTCTGGTCTTCAAACAAGAGCACTGCTGTACAGTCCCTCTGTGCGCTGTTCGATACTTTTGTGGCCATTGCGAGATACAACCAAGCAAGGTTTCCGTTCCAAGCGACAGGTGTACACCAATACTCTGTGCGCACCTTCGCTGGAAACAGCCGACCACATAGACCGTGCGAAACTTGCTGGTACTCGGCAACACGCACGCGTTCCCACGACACAGGTTAACCTTCTTTTCCGCCCCTGCGCCCGCCTCCAACGATCGGCGCCTTCATATCTCCCTTTTGTGTGCCCCGTCGTAAGAGCAGAAGACGAAGGTATTCATGTCCGCCATTCCACCGACGCCTCCGTACACGAGGGAAAACCTCGTCCGTCTCGCCTGCCCTCCACCGGCCCCTTCCTCCGCGGAAGGATCCACCAGCGTTAACGGCGACGGGCATGGCGCCGCAGGAGCCGGTGCCAAGAAGGTCTACAAGCGGGCCCGGCGAAGAGACCTCCCTCCTCCCAAGGAGCGCCTACCTGCTGCTGCTGCTGCTGCTGCTGCTGCTGCAGGTAGTGTTGTTGCCGATAACGCCGGCGAGGGTGCCGGTGTCGACCGTCAGGAGGGAGGATCGGAGAAGGGCGCAGGTGAAGAAGCGCCGGCCCTTGCCGTTCCGGAGAAGCAAGCTGCCGCTGGAGAGGCCGTCGCCTCTTCCCCGGCGGCGGTTTCTGACAAAGGAGACGAGGAGCGCGTGGGAACGCCAGCAGAGGCAAGCGACATCGCCTCTGGCAGCAGTGGTCGTGGAGAGGGCGTGGCAACAGTGACGGCGGTGCTCGGAGAGGGCGCCGGTGCCGATGCAAGCGGCGAGGACGCTACGGCGTCCATCCGAGCCGCACTGGAAAGCGTGTCAATTTATGCCGAGGAGGAGGATGCTTGTAGTGCGGCGGCAACTTCTGCTCCTGTGGATGCTGCTGCTGCTGCTGCTGCTGCTGCGTCGCCAGCACCACCTGCGTCGGACGTTGCGAATGTTCGAGAAGTGGCAAGCACAACGGCGGTAAAGGCACCGGCGCCGGCACCCACACCATCAAGGACCGCGTGGGAGAGCGTAAGGTTCAGTCGACCAAGCGGCAGCAGCAGCGGCGGCGGCGGTCGTTGCTCGGCTTCGGTTGTGTCGCGACACGCCTCCTTGGCCGCCGCGGTAGCCGAAACCGCCACAATGGACGCGGACAATTATTCCCCCTCAGGAGGAACTGTTCCCGACGCGAGATCCGGAGGAGTCAAGTCATTCTCATCCTCCTCCTCCTCCGCCACCAACACCCCTGACGAGAGCGCGCAGCCGCCGCCGGCGGATTCATCCCGGTCGCCGTCGCCGACCCGGCGCAGGCGTGTTTCCTTCGCCGAAGGCACCAAAGAGAGCCCCCAACCGAACGCGTCTTCGCCCCCGGTGCCTTCCGCCCGCGGGAGGGCCGCCGCTGCGAAGCAGGCGAGGGCGGCGGCGGCGGTGGCGGCAGGCGCCGGGCCGGGTAGGCGAGGAGGGCGCGGACGCGGCTCGGGTAAAGCTTCATCTGGCAGAGACCGAGGCGGAAAGTCGGCGGCGGCGGCGGCGGCGGCGGCGGCGGCGAGGAAGAGCGTGCTGGGAGGGGTCGTCGAGCGCGCCCCCTCGGTGCCCGCTCCGATGGAGGTGAGGGTGGGCGGCCGCGCACGGGGCGGCGCGGGGGCGGTGGAGGGACACCTCCCGAAGATCGAGGCGGACCTGTCCTTTCGCGTTATGCCTCGCGGGGGCTATCCCGGGGTCGGCGGCGGCGGTGGTTTGGGTTTCGCGGCCGGCGGGCAGGCTGGAGTGGAGGAGGCGAAAGATGCCCGAGAGTTCGGGCTTGGCGTGGATGGAGGACCCTTGACGGCGGATGAGTTTGAGGACGAGAAGGAGATGGAAGAAGTCGAAGAAGAAGATGGGGCAGAGGGCGAGGAGCACAGTGAAGACGACGCGGACGAGAACGATAGGTCTGCGCTGTTGCCGCCGTGCTTGGGCTACTTTATGCTGTCGTTAGAGCATGACGAGTGTGCTTTGTGTCGGGACAGAGGAGGAAGCCTCCCTGCTTCTTCTGACATATTTCTCTCATTCCTTTGATGTCGTTTCCCGAACCACGTCCTAAGCCGCGCACTATCTTAATCTTTGCTATTTATTGCGTGTGTCGTGTTGTCCAACGAAAAAAGGGCCATCTGGCGCGAGACCTTCGGAGAAGAGATGCCTGCCGAGGTGTCGTCGGGGTCATGGATAGATATGGACGCCGTCCGAGACAAAGAAATGCGGGAGGAATTCGTGAGTTCTCCCTCCCGACGTTTTGCATGTTTTTCAATACACTACTTAAACTACCGCTACCTTGACGATGTACGTTGCGTGGAGAGTTTGCTGGAACTCTTCTCTGGTTTGCGCAGTATTTTGCTTGACGGAACTATTGGGGTCCGTTTCACAACTCCTACAGCTGGATCGGAAGATGCCAAGAACCATCAGTGTTCGAGGGATATTCCTAACAGACACCAATGGTGCCGATTCGTTTACCTTGCTTGGCTACCGTGTCTTACCCCTCAATTGTCTGACCCGCGTCTGGACAGGCGTCGTCCATTGCCCCGTTCGCCCTGCTGTGGAGCGCCTTGTCGGAGTGGGTATCCCCAGAGACGCGCGCTGTGTGCCGAGCCGGTCGAGCAGCAGCAGCAGCAGCAGCAGCGACGGCGTCGGCTGTTGCGTCGCCGCTCTCGTCTGCGGGCAAGGCCAAAACAAGTGGCGTCAATGGTCGTTCGTCGTCAGAAATCGGGGACGTTGCCGCTGAACCGGCGAGTTCTCCGGCGATTACGGCGGCATCGTGTTGCGACGTTTCGGAGCAGAGCCCACGCATCGACAGCAGTCACAGTAGCAGCGCATCGCCCGGTCACTTCGGGTCGGTACCCGCCGACTTTCTAGCTAGAAAGGCGGGCGCGGTAGCGGAAGCAATAGAGGCGGAGATGAGTCGGCACGCCAAGCGTAACAGAGACCGACGGAAAGCTAACCCTAACGACAGCCCCATGAAGGGAACGGGCGACAGCAGTGCTAGAGGCGGCGGCACCACCGTTGGCGAGGGTCCGACTCTAACGGGTGCCTTGCGCCACACCGGAGTGAGCACCATGGTCAACATGCACCTGGCGCTGGCGGAGCGGGCGCTGATAGCGGCCGCCACAACCTTACATGTTCGTGGCGGCGGGGGCGGCGGTGGTGATGGCGACGGTTGCTCCGGGATCCTTCAGACGAGCGGGCAACACAACAACATGAGATCCAGGAAAAAGTGGGTTTGGTCAGACACGGCCGCCGGGGCGAGGCAAGGGGCAAGGGTGCCAGGGGGCTGGGTAGAGAAGGAGGGGCCGACGGCAGCGGCTGCGGCGGCGGCGGCGGAAGCGGTATCGCTCAAAGCACCGCCGGCCGGCGGTGGCGGCAAGGCGAAGGAAGGGACTACCGGCGATGATGTACCAGCCGTGGCGACGGCATCAGGTACAGGGACAACCGTAAGCGGAAAACACGCCGACGCCGAGACCAATCAACGCGAGTCGCCGGCAATATCAGTTGCAGGCCGACAGACCGGGAAGGCTCCAGCGGCGGAGCCAGCGGCGGCGGCGGCGGCAGGAGAGCACGTCGCCGGCGGGGGGGCGGAGTGTCGGCGAGCCGTGTCCGCGGTGATCGACACCCTCAACGTTGCCGCCGGGAGCGCGAGCTCCGCCACGGCGGCTGACCTGTCCATCGCCCAGTGGAAGGTGGTGTCCGTCGTGCTCCTGACGGCGGTGGGCCTCGGCACCGGAGCAATCGGCGGCGGCGGTGGCGGCGACGGTGAAGGAGGAGCGGCGGCGCCCCGGGTGACCGGCGAAGAGGCGGAGGTCGCGGCGGAGGCGTGCTCGAGGTTGTGCGGGGAGGAGATGGGCGTGTCGGCGAGAGAGTTCCGGATTCTCGTTGACGTGATGCTCGAAGAGTAACCTTCTTTGCGCGGGGGGGGCGGGGGCGGGGGCGGGGGCGGCGATGGCAATAAATGTCCCGATTTTTGTCGGTCATTCGTCTGGTGTAGGTGTCCTGGCGTGGCGAACTTTGCTAATGATTTTCTTCAATGTCTTGGAAGGCAGGGTGTGGCGAATGTCGTGCTGTGGGTGTCCCCAGGCGCTGGTTGCTCAGTGACCTCGGGTGTGTATGGAAACCGATTGGGTCTTCCGGTTGCATGGGATACGGTTTCACTACTGTCTCGTTTTGTAGATACCACCTGCAAAGCCAGATGGAAACAGACACGGATGGGTATTCGATGAACTTGCGCGCACGTGTTTAGGTGCAACCACGGTGCGCGCGCACAAAGCCTTGCTGCACCGTATTCTGCGGTGTCAACCGCTGTGAACAGTTATAATGACCCGGGGATAGCGTCGGGTTCAACTCAAGCCCTCTTCTTTTCCCTCACAGGGCGGCTTGACGAGGGAAAAAATCATAACCTGCGAGTGTGTAGGGTATGATGTTGTCATGAAGAACAATATATTAGTAACGAAGAATCCCTGCACGTGAGCGCGGCCGTGAGCACTCAACCAACAGCAGCAGCGCTTGGCTTCGCCGCGCTGTGCCGGCAATGAGTAACACAGGACACGAAGTTAAGGATTAGGCTGCCCCCCACGCGATCATTGATTGATTGGGGATGAGCTAGCAACGGCGTGTGTCCGTGAAGTTGGCGGCACCAACACTTGTCTCGTAAATTTAGATCAAAATAAAGTTGTACCGTTTCACGCCACGAGCCGGCGATCGCTGGCGAGATCCCCCAGGCCGTGTCGAGAAGACGAAGCGAACAGCACCATTTCCGTGGTCAGTCAGACAAGATACGATTGAAAGTATTAATTCGCCCGTTTTTACAAATAGTACCTGGCACTACGTAACGGAGAGGGCCCCGAGATGCGAGAACAACAACCAACCCCCACGTGCGGCGAATACCTGCCAGTTATCATGGATACTTCCAACCGAACTCCATCCTCTCCTCTGTAGGATATGTATGTATTCTAAGTCGTCGCAACAAATACTGACTCGACCGCGCTCCATCACAAGCAAGCCCGTATCATCGCCACATCTTCCCATTCCCTTGGCAAAACAACAAAATACCAAGAAAAATCCCATGCAGGGAAGAAAGCAGCGAAACGTCCAAAGCTCCCCTACCCCCCCCCCCCCCC